GGCTGGCCTTCCTTGTGTTTGGCGCGGGAACCGCCATCTTCTCCCTGCCCATCATCTTCTTCCCCAAGAAGCTCGTGTCTCGCAAACAGCAGGTGGAGGCGCTGAGAAAGGCCGCAAAAACTTTCTCCGGGCTGGAGGAGTCGGAACCCGGTGATGGCGGGATGGAAGGAGGAGTAGGAGAAAGGAAGAAGAGCGGATTGAATGCAGAATTACAGTTGGAAGATCTGAATTCAAGGTTTGATTTATGTTTTTCTTCTTCCACTTCCATTAGTAACCGTCACCCCCCCCCCCCCACCCCTTTCTTTTTTTAAACCAAATTTGAAACCATCATCACCGAGTGGTGCCAGATCTGCGACAGACATAGGCGATCATAGTTTTCAAATTTATTTTTTTAAACGGATGTTTTCAAAATGCTTCATTATTGTTGTTACTACTACTGTCCTGATTTCGTTCCCCCATTCATCCATCTATTCAGCCCTATCAAATAAACATTATCAAATAAACATCATTCTTTCTTCTATAAGTTTAATCGATAAAACACTCTTAAACAAGTAAAGTTACTCCCGCTTCCGATCCCGACATTGGGGATTGCCTTGTTAGTGAGACAACTTCCTGGGCCTTCAGCATATTATTGTGGTAGGGTGGCCAGTTCCTTTCCACGCCGCCTTTACTTCCCCAACTGGAAGTCAGGTACCCATTACTGCTGGGTGGGCAGGAGGGAGCGAAAAAAATCAGAGTCCGAAACGAGGCTCGAGCCCGGACTTTCCGCTTCGGAGACGAGCATAAACAAGTAATTAAACAAATAAACTATGACCACTTTCAATTTGTCTAAAAATGTGGTTAGTAATACAAGAAAAGTACAGGCGTCTGTGGTGTAGCAGGTAGGCTACTGGTCCCATCGTGTAGGAGAGCCTACTGTGATTCCTGAGTTAAACCTTTTTGAATACTAAAATAAGCTAATCAAATTATTTGGATTCGCTAAGATAATTTTTTATAATGCTAATCAGTTTATTCTGATTTGCTAAAATAAGCTACATGAAATATTCTGGTACACAAAAATAGGCTAATCAAACTATTTTGGTATTCTGAAATAGCCAATCAGACTGTTTTGGTACGCTAAATTAGCTAATCCAACGTTTTGAGTTCGTTCGAAAAAGCTAATTAATCTTTTTTTAGGGCGTTCTAAAAGGCTAGCAAACCCTTTCTTGGTGCACATTTCAGACGTCGAAGTATAATCATTGGACCAGGGATAGACTTGCAACATCCGGGCAGTGACAGGCGTCTTAGCGTTACCATGGTGATCCCGGAGAAAAGGCCAAGTCAGACGCTTTCGCTGGTAATATTGGTTCCCTTTTCGGTTGATATAAGTGTCCCAATTTACAAGAAAATATCATGTCTACAGAACAACAGTTAATGTTGAAGGCTAATGAAAGGCAAAAGCACGAAAGACGGCCAAGAACAATAATATTATGTTATGTGAGGAATGGCAGTGAAATGGTGCACTCGTCAATGTGATGAAACTGAAGAAACTGGAATTTTCCACCGGTATGGCAGTTTTTATTGACGTTTTGATTTATGATTCAGCACTTTCAATGTTCCTTTTTTTAAATACATTTTTATTATGTGCAGACTTTACTGAAAATTATTGATTAAAAGTAAAATATACGTAAATGTTCCCTTTCCAAAATCCCTCAAGCTATGGAAGTCACAAAACTTCGGGGGCTATTTTCTTTCGCTAATTTTACCTCTGTCACCAGACGATCCCCATCTCCTTCAATAGTATATATCTCTTTTGTTACAGATAGATACGTATTTTTTCCCATTGAAAGCAAGACAAATGAGCAAGCCTTATGACGATACCAATAATTCCAGATACCCTAAAAACGGGCAAGAGCCTGATTTGGCTACGATGCCTCACATTATTATCTCTTTGGCCAAAGCTGCTCAGCTGTAAAACGCCCAAAATCTTGACACATCTTTTCAGATTGCACTTTCTCGATCTGTACTATTGTTACGGTAGTCACATCCGTTGAACTGTTCTAAGCTCAGCATGCAAAACCTTTCAGGAGAAAGAAAAACTGTTTCATTTTTTTTTCAAACAATTGTTATCAACTGGATTATGTGTTTATTTATTGATGTATTTGCCTTTCACAACACTGAAAATTTAACTTTCAATACATTAGTTCAATTAATTTGAAATGGAATATTTTGATAACCATGCATAGTTGAAAAAGGGGGTTAAATCCATAGCACAGTATAGCATAGTAATACAACAGCATACCATTGGATGCCATTTCATAGCATACATAACATAATTTTCTCATAGCACAGTATAGCGTAGTAATACAACAGCATACCATTGGGTGCCATTTCATAGCATACATAACATAATTTTCTCATAGCACAGTTTAGCATAGCGCAGCACAGTACAGCACAGCACAGCACAGCAAAGCACTGTATAGCACAGCACAGCACAGCAAAGCACTGCATAGCACAGCACAGCATAGCACAGCACATCATAGCACATCATAGCACATCATAGCACAGCAAAGCACAGCAAAGCAAAGCAAAGCAAAGCACAGCAAAGCACAGGAAAAGCACAGCAAAGCACATCATAGCACAGCATAGCACAGCACAGCATAGCACAACATAGCACAGCAAAGCACAGCAAAGCACAGGAAAAGCACAGCAAAGCACAGCATAGCACAGCATAGCACAGCAAAGCACAGCAAAGCACAGCAAAGCACAGCAAAGCACAGCAAAGCATACCCCGAATTGTACCACATGACTGTACCAAACGATCCATACTTAAAGGAATACGATTGTTCTTGTTGGTTTTCGATGTGCTTCCCTTTACTTTAACTAACTCCAACTAACGTTTGGTGCTCAGAAAAGCATCACGGCAAGACGAGTGAGCGTCACGGGCGACGTGTTGATGGCAGAAGAAAAAGAGGAAGACCACAGACTCCAGTCACAGGATAACAGTGAAACACTGGGCAAGGCTGGCTTCAAGAAGCTCCTGATAGGTGAGGAGTGCGTACTGAGTCTATCCGAGAACTGAATGAAGAAGATTTGAAAGTTGATAATTATAGTTAGGAGGAGGAGGAGGAGGAGGAAGAGAAATCACAGCTACCGTAAAGGCAGTTCGCTCGATTGATTGGTTTATTGATTGATTGATTGATTGATTGATTGACTGATTGATTTTATATATTAATTTAATTAAATATCTTCCGCAGATTTCCCCAAGGCTCTGTGGCGGTTGGCCCATGTTCCCATCTTCGTTATGATCATCATTGACATCATTATTGTCTCCATTCCATTCACGGGGATCGGGTTTTTCCGGACGGTCTACGCTGCTAATGAGTACAACGTGCCTATGGCAGAGGCAGCCATGTTGTCAGGTGAAAGAAACAAAGCGGATGGTTGGCGGGTGCTCTGTTTTGGTTTGCTCCTTAATAATAATAATAATAATAATAATAATAATAATAATAATAATAATAATAATAATAATAATAATAATAATAATAACAATAATAATAACAATAATAATAATAGTGATAATGATGGTAATAATAATAATAATAATAATAATAATAATAATAATAATAATAATAATAATAATAATAATAATAATAATAATAATAAAATTAAAATAATAATATTATTATTATTAATAATAATAATAATAATAATAATAATAATAATAATAATAATAATAATAATAAATAATAATAATAATAATAATAATAATAATAATAATAAATAGCATTAAAAATTTGTATAGCGCAAATCCCCGCTCAACAGTAAGCTCTATGCGCTTCACAACCTATACTTTTAACCCAGCAGACCTAAGAGCATTCTGAAACAACCTCAACTTCCTGAGAAGCATACAGCGCACGCGGCCATAAACAGACACTAAAACACTGACATACTGACAAGGTCTGTCGCTGTCTATGGCCGGGTACCCATTCCCGCCTTGGTGGAGTGAGGAAAATTCGTGTGAAGTGGACACAACATCGGTCCAATGGCTCGAACCCTGAACCCGCAGCCTCACGATTACGAATCCGGTAGCCTAACCACTAGGCCACCTCCTTCTGTCCTCCTATCAAATATTTCTCGTACTTATCTCTGTCTGCTCCATCTGTAAGAGTTTGCTACTCTTTTGTAATGCGGGATGTTGGCGAGTGCTCTAATGGGGTTTGCTCCCTCTGTCCTATCAAACATAAATCGCCCTTATCTCTCCTCCATCTGTTTAGTACTTGTTACTCTCTTTTAACAAGTCTAATTTTCGTCACTTATATGATCTTACTGTGTTGAAAGTGCCGTAAAACACTTACTAGAAAGTAAAACATGAGAAACGACAATGTATAAATAAAATAGCGTTGGTCTGATGTTCAGATTATAATAATAATAATAATAATAATAATAATAATAATTATTATTATTATTATTATTATTATTATTATTATTATTATTATTATAATAATAATAATAATAATAATAATAATAATAATAATAATAACAATAATAATGATACATGTAATAATAATAATAATAATAATAATTATTATTATTATTATTATTATTATTATTATTATTATTATTATAACAATAATAATAATAATAATAATAATAACATTAATGATAGCATAACTTGTATTTTGCACAGTCCTGCTCAACAGCAAGCAGTTTAAGTGCTTTTCAATTAATATTATTACCACAGCAGACCGGAAAGCATTCTGAAACAATCTTAACTTCCCAGGAAGCATAATATTATAATACACGCCGCTATTTATGTAGGCTCTAAAACACTAACATACTGACAAGATCATTTCCCGGGAAGCTGAGAATGTTTCGGAGTGTACTATGGTCTGCTGGGGTAATAATATAGTGTAAAGCGCATAGAGCCTGCGGTTGAGCGGGGATATGCGCTATACAAATGCTATCTATTATTATTATCATTTACTGTCTATGACCGAGTACTCATTCCCACCTGGGTGAAGTGAGGAAAATTCGAGAAAAGTGCCGTTCCCAAGGACACAACGTCAGGCCGGAGGCTTGAACCAACGAACCTGCGATCTTGCGATTAAGAGTCCGATAGCCTTACCACTAAGGCACTGACTGGTGTGAAAATACGTTGCTTTCTGTCACCAGTACGCCAACACTTGAGCAGGTTACCGACAAACTACTGTTTCTAATTTTTGGTCGCTTTTAAGGACAAGCGGGCTAACCCAGATTTGGGGGGTTTCCAGAAATCTTGACCTACACCAAAAGTGTGCTTTGCCCTACCTATAGGAGAAGCTTGGTTTCATTGGTGTGTATATGTGTTTGGTTATAGAGAAAACTCTTCTTGTCTTTTAAAGAAACTGAACAAGGGTAAAAAAAACAACTACATCATGGATTTTCTCAAAACAGCATCTTCTAAAGCAGATGAGTCGAACTGAATTTTTGTTGAAACAAGGATTTTGTTCTCTATATCAAAGTGCCAAAAATAAAATGAATGTGAAAGAATTAAGTTATCATCAACTCAAAGATATAATAATTATACAGCATCTTATTTTCGATGTCTTTTAATAATCTTCAACATGCGATAGCGTAATTGTGCGTGCCCACTTTTCAGCCTCACGAGTTGCCCCTACTTACAAAAAAACTAAGAGTCCTCCCCGGGAGCTATCCTTGCCTTGATGTTGAGGTGCTCGCCTCTTATTCAATAGCTCCCTGGTTCGAATCCTGATAGCTCCGGAAACATTTTTTTCTAAAATTGTCCCCTTTCACATTCTTTCTTGCTCTCGAACAATGTTCTGTCGTCTGCTTTCGTGTCCACATTCTACCACCACCCCTCACCTCATGTGCCTCTTTCCTTGGACTCCTGACTCTTTTTGTAGCCTTTCTACTGATACTTCTTGGGTCCTTCTTACTGATGCCTTTCCGCCATACCCCTGATCTTCATGTAGGAAAGATCTACACCTAGCCTTCTCGAACAAGGGGTAAAAAAATCTCGGAGGATCCGTCTGCAAGTTGCCCAAGTTAATGATCCCTTGGTGGTCCAAAATCGATATGAACAGGCTTCAGCAGCCACCCGGCAAAATTCAAAATTTCCTACCAATTGAAAATGTGTAATGAATGTCTCCCGCGCACTCATATTACCTTATGCAGTTGCGAGCGCCGTAAAACAGAACACTTGTCAAAAGAAAATAAAAAAACAAAAACAAAAAAAAAGCAAAACAAAATAAAAGTGAAATCCCTTCCCCAGGATACGTACAAGCTGTCGGGAACATCGCTGGCACTCTCCTCAGCGCTTGGATCTCCACGCGCGTCCGCACAAAGGCCGGGTATATCTGGATCATCTTTGCGACCTACGCGGTGGTCACGTGTGTGGTGCCAGCCTACCTGTACCTTGACTGTCCCAACTACCCCGTTTACGGCCACGAAGGAGAACTGTGAGTCAGATTGTGAATGTGGCTAGTAATTGTGAGTTAGTTCGTCACAACTACTACATCCAACACAAAATATCAACAGCAACAGCATAATAACTACTACCATCATCATCACCACCACTTCTACCACCACTATCATCATCATCATCATCATCATCATCATCATCATCATCATCATCATCATCAT